TATTGACAATGGGGTGTTAAAGTCTCCCACTATAATTGTGTGGGAGTATAAGTCTCTTTGTAAGTCATTTAAGACTTGCCTTATGTATCTGGGTGCTCCTGTATTGGGTGCGTATATATTTAGGATCGTTAGCTCTTCTTGTTGCATCAATCCTTTTACCATTACGTAGTGTCCTTTTTTGTCTTTTTTGATCTTTGTTGGTATAAAGTCTATTTTATCAGAGACGAGAAATGGAACTCCTTTTTTTTTTTGCTCTCCATTTGCTTGTCAAATCTTTCTTCATCCCTTTATTTTGAGCCTTTATGTATCCTTGCATGTGAGATGGGTTTCCTGGATACAGCACAATGATGGGTTTTGGGTTTTTATCCCATTTTCCAGTGTGTGTCTTTTGATTGGGGCATTTAGTCCATTTATGTTTAGGGTTAATATTGTTATGTGTGAATTTGATCCTGCCATTTTGATAATAGCTGGCTGTTTTGCCCATTAGTTGATATAGATTCTTTATTGTGTTGATGTTCTTTACCATTTGGTTTATTTTTGGAGTGGCTGGTACTGGTGGTTCCTTTCTATGTGTAGAGCCTCTTTCAGGAGCTCCTGTAAAGCAGGCCTGGTGGTGATGAAATCTCTGAGTACTTTCTTGTTCGCAAAGGATTTTATTTTTCCTTCACTTGTGAAGCTTAGTTTGGCTGGATAGGAGATTATGGGTTGAAAGTTCTTTTCTTTAAGGATGTTGAATATTGTCCCCCACTCTCTTTCGGCTTGTAGGGTTTCTGCTGAGAGATCTGCTGTGAGTCTGATGGGCTTCCCTTTGTGGGTAAGCTGACCTTTTTCTCTGGCTGCCCTTAGCATTTTCTGCTTCATTTCAACCCTGGTGAATCTGACGATTATGTGCCTTGTGGTTGCTCTTCTTGACGAATACCTTTGTGGTGTTCTCTGTATTTCCTGGACTTGAATATTGGCCTGCCTTGCTAGGTTGGGGAAGTTTTCCTGGATAATATCCTGAAGAGTATTTTCCAGCTTGGATTCATTCTCTTCGTCACATTCAGGCACACCTATCAAACGTAGATTAGGTCTTTTCACATAGTCCCACATTTCTTGGAGACTTTGTTCATTCCTTTTTACCCTTTTTTCTCTAATCTTACCTTCCCGTTTTGTTTCATTGAGTTGATCTTCGACCTGTGGATATCCTTTCTTCTGCTTGGTCAATTCGGCTGTTGATACTTGTGCATGCTTCGCGAAGTTCTCGTGTTGTGTTTTCAGCTCCATCAATTCACTTACATTCCTGTCTAAGTTGTCCATTCTCGTTAGCATTTCGTTCAGTCTTTTTTCAGCGTTCTTAGTTTCTTTGCATTGGGTTAGAACATGTTCTTTTAGCTCACGGAAGTTCCTTATTACCCACCATCTGAAGTCTGATTCTGTCATTTCATCACACTCGTTCTCCATCCAGCCCTGTTTCCTTATTGGTGAGGAGTTGTCATCTCTTGTAGGAGGAGAGGTGTTCTGGTTTCAGGTGTTTTCATCCTTTTTGTGCTGGTTTCTTCCCATCTTTCTGGATTTATCCATCTGTTGTCTTTGTAGTTGCTGACTTTCAGTTTGGGTCTCTGAGTGGACGTCTAATTTGTTGATAATGAAGTTGTTTCTGTTTCTTAGTTTTCCTTCTAACAGTCTGGCCCCTCTGCTGTAGGGCTGCTGAGGTCCACTGCAGGACCTGATTGCCTGGGGATCACCTGCAGCAGCTGCAGAACAGTAACGGTTGCTACCAGTTTCTTTTTCTGCTATCTTTGTCCCAGAAGGATACCCGCTAAATGTCAGTCTGATCTGTCCTTTTTGAGATGACTCTGGATATACTGGGGTCAGGGAGCTGCTTAAGGAGACAGTCTGTCCTTTACATGAGCTCAAGTGCTCAGTTGTGAGCTCCATTTTTCATTCAGGGCTGCTGGGCAGATATGTTTAGGTCTGCTGCAGCAGAACTCATAAATACCTTTATTTTTTCCCCAGGTGCTCTGTCCCAGGTAATTAGGGCTTTATGAGGTTCTATTGTGCTGCTGCCTTTTTTTCAGGGCTGCCCTGCACAGCAATGAGGCAGCCTCGTCACTGTCTGCCTGTAGAGGCTTTGCTGAGCTGCTGTGGGCTCCACCCAGCTGTTGTGTGAACTTCCCTGCAGTCCTGTTTATATGGGTGTAATTAGAACTGTCTCAGCATTGGTGGCCCGCCTCTGTAATGGCGGACTCTTGCTGTAATGGCAGGTTGCCTTGGCAGCAGCGGGTTGCCTTGGCAACCGCGGGCAGCCTCAGCAATGGCGGAATGCCTCTGTAGTGGAAGAATGCCTCGGCAATGGCGGAGGCCCCTCCCCCACTGAGCTGGACCGTCTCGGGTTCAGCTGTGCTTGCTGTGAAACTCTCAATCCAAAGATTTTCTGTTTGCTGTTCTTTTGTGGGGGTGGGAACAGCCGAGTCTGATCACCTGGCTCCCTGGCTCAGAGCCTTTTGGTTTTTAATTGAACAGTGGACTCTCTCCCAGGTGTTCCATTTGCCTTTTGAAAAGACGCCAAGGTCTTTGTGATTTCCCTTGCGTCGCCAGCTTAAACAGCAGCGTGGGGCTTTTTTTTTTTTTTTTTTTTTTTTTTGCCTGGGAATCTCCTGGCCTGGCTCCCTGTTTCAGACCCCTTTTTAGACAGATGAATGGGCGACTGCGCCTTCCAGAGGCTCCAATTGCCTGCTAAAAGGGCACCCGGACCAGTGTATTTTGTACGGAGAACTGCCGTGCCAGGGTGCCACAAATCAGCTGCCAAAACAGCCTTGGTGACCGAAACAGCCGTGCCGGCGACCCGTGGGGCTCCTCCACCTGGGAATCTCCTGGTCTTGGGCAATAAAAAGCCATCTGGAAATGCGGCGTCCAGTCACCCTCTGCGCTTTCACTGGGAGCTGCAATCCTGAGCTGTTCCTAAACGGCCATCTTGGATCCGGATCGGAATATCAATCTTCCTTTTTTTTTTCTTGATCGTTTCCTTTATTTTTCACTTTCAGAAACTGCCACCTTCATAACCACTACAACAACAAAAATTTATATATGCTACAGTGAGAGCATAACTCATCCCAGCTTCCCTTAATTCAAGTCACTTGAAGTCAGCTACTCAGTTTGGCGACATTCTTTTGATGTTCAATATTGGTGATCTGAACATTATGTTAATCCTTCCTGATTTCTTCAATAAAATAGTTATTTCGCTGCAAACTACAATCAAATTAATATGGTTTAAAGTGTCAAAATATGTATTTCCATGGCTGTATTCTTTCTAATAGGTGTTTTTGTGTAGATTGTTCAGGATTTTCTATATACAAGATCATGTCATCTGTGAAGAGATATAATTTTACATCTTCCTTTACAATTTGGTTGTCTTTTATTATTTTTCTTGCCTAATTGCTTTGTGGGCATCTTCTTGTTGTTCTTTATCTTAGAGAAGTAGCTTTCAGTTTTTTGAGTATCATGTTAGCTGTGGGCATTTCATAGCTCGTATATGTTACACTGAGGCAGTTTCCTTCTATTCCTGCTTTGTTGAATGTTTTTATTATGAAAGCGTATTGAATTTTGTCAAGCGGTTTTTCAGCAACTATTGAGATGATTATGTGTTTTTTTTTTTTAATCTCATTCTATGTATTACCCTGATCAATGATGAGTAATCCTTGCCTTCTGTATAAATCCCATTTGGTCATAGTGTACCAAATGGTTTTTTAATGTGTTGTGGAATTCAGTTTGCTAGTATTTTGTAGTTTCCTCCTGGTTGCACCTCAGCCTCACTGTGTCGGGTATGGGGAAGGACAGGGATGAGTGCACAGAATACCCTGAATTTTATTACCCCTTTCACTGGAATGCCTTCTTGGCTATATGGCCTGGTGCTGTAGCTTCTTAACTGTTCTCTAGAGTTCTCACAGAAGTAATTCTGTTCTATATATTGCTTTATTTCTGAGTTGTATAACTGGACTTAAGTATAGCCTTGGAGCCATCGTGTAGATGGTAATTAAAGCTTGTGAAGAGAATGAAAATATGTAGAATGAGAAGAGGGCTTCATACAGACCCTCAAGAATACCAACATTTAAGAGGCGGATAAAAGAAAAAGGAGCATCCAAAAATGGGGTAAAACCAAACCCGGGAAATTTTGTATCATAAAAGCCAAGCAAAGAGTGCTCAAAGGAATAAGCAGAAATAACACATATATGTTAGCAACTGTTGTAAGGACTTTTTATTAAAAATTAATCCTTTCAAGAATCCTATGTAAATTTTGTACTATTTTAGTCCTCCTTTTATGAAAGAAGGGAAGCAGAGAAATCATGCAGCTAGTAATATATAAAAATGTTCATTATAGTATTATTTGTGATATCATAAAATCAGAAATTACCTAAAATCTACCAGTTGGGGGTTTGGTTAAATTGTGGTTTATGGAATGTAAAGAAGCCATTAAAAGAAAAAAGTTTGTCCATATTTATTGAAAGGATTCTGTAATATACTGTTGAGTGAAATATGTTAGTTGTAATGTGTGGGTGATACTTTTTAAAGAAAGTTTCTCGTGTTTGTGTATGTTGGCCAGTATGTGCATGGGAAAGTATTTGGAGGGATATACATCAGATTCATAGTGAAAATTTTTGGGAATCGAGCAGCAATTTTCTTTTTAATTAATTTAGCCCTTTTGTAAGGTGTTTTAGTATAGCATAAAAACATGCTTAAATAAGATTTAAAGAGGATTCATTTGAGTTAGAAAATGAAAGAAAATTAAGTAAATGTGTGTATTCTGTTATACAAAGACAAGCTGGTCAGTTTTACTAAGGAAATATTTAGCTATGGGGAAGGAATTCATCTTAAGATAAAACTCAGGATTTTGAGGAATACAACTCAGATTGCAATGGTTGAGGAATGAATAGGAAATGTAGAAATAATAAAGGTGCTAAATGCTGTTACTTTCTAACTGTACGTCAAATTAAAAATATTTTAAAATATTTAAATTATAGGATAATCGAGTTCACATTGGACCAAAAATGGAAATTCGGGTCGTTACATTAGGATTGGATGGTGCTGGGAAAACCACTATCTTGTTTAAGTTAAAACAGGATGAATTCATGCAGCCCATTCCAACAATTGGTAAGTATTAATATTGGTTTTTACCTTAAAGGACATTTAATAGACAAACCCTAGCTTACAGCGGAGTGCTTGTGGTCTTATTTGATACTAGTCTGTCATGGTGGTAGGCTCTTTTCTGGCTCTAAGACATCAGCATCTCAGAGAAAAAATGCAAGATTGTGTGGCCATGGGAATGAAATGTGGTTGGGGATAAAAAGAAGAAACAGCATTGGTGGGACAGTTTGAAGGAATAGAAGATTGGTGATCCTGGCTGAGGGTGTGGGGTTGGGGGCAGTAGTGCAACAGAGCTGGAAGATACATGGATCCCAAAGTCCTAAGGACCTTGGTGGAGGTTTAGAGGGCTAGGAGCTGTTACAGGTATTCACTCTCCATGTAGGAGTAGGAATGGGGTTGATTAGGCTTCAGTAGATATTGCTGCATATAGATAATTGATAAATCACAATTATACACTGGGGGATTTTCTGTGTTTGATGTGTCATTCATTGTAAATGTAAATATAGTATAAAAGTTAACTTTTTTTTTTTAAAACAGGTTTTAATGTGGAAACTGTAGAATATAAAAATCTAAAATTCACTATTTGGGATGTAGGTGGAAAACACAAATTAAGACCATTGTGGAAACATTATTACCTCAATACTCAAGGTGAGAGTTAAAAATGACATTTAATTTTTCACATTTTTAGGATGACAGTTTTCAGTGTACTGATGTGACTAGCAGAGCTGATATTTATGATTAAATCCTTGACTATACACTTAAGTATTAGTGGCTAGTTCCTTATCTTATAAAAAATGAAAGTAGAAAGATTAGCATATGTACTTTTAGTTTATTCCTGATAAACCATTATTACAGAAATAAACCAGATGTAGCTTAGATACTTAGGCAGTTAAAAGTATTCTTGCTTCTCTTAACAGAATACATATTATCAGTATTATATGGGTGTGATTGCTGGCAATGTAGTGGTATAAAGTTGAATTTATGGTGTATGATTCTGCTGCTCAATTCAGTTAAACTCAACATTTATCCCATTATAATCTCACAATAGCCCCACTCCCACATTTCTTTCATAAATAGTGGTTACCTGCAAAAGAACTTACAGTGGCTTGCTTTTGACCAAATGGTATTATATCACATACTCTACATAGGTTTTAGTCACATTTGGGTTCTGTTCTACACTTTTGCCTCATAGACCCCAACCTAAAGCTTAGGCTCATGCCTCCTATTCTGTATGTTATCCTGCTTTGTACCAAGATGAGAGACTGAATAATTATTTTTACTTTGGGATTTTTGATATTTAGTATGAGTCATAATTAATAGATTTTTTTTTTTTGAGACAGAATCTTGCTTTGTTGCCCAGGCAGGAGTACAGTGGTGCGATTGCAGCTCACTGCCATCTCTGCCTCCTGGGTTCAAGCAAGCCTCCCACCGTTGCCTTCCAAGTAGCTGGGACTACAGGTATATGCCACCACATTCAGCTAATTTTTAATTTTTTTTTTGTAAAGACAAGGTCTCACTATATTGCCCAAGGGTCTCAAACTCCTGAGCTCAAGTGATCCTCCCACTTTGGCCTCCCAAAGTGCTGGGATTATAGGTGTCAGCCACTGTGCCCCGCAAAAATGGAATTTTGAATATGAGGAATGGTTGAAAGTATGGGGATACTTAACTTAGAGACAATACTTTGCAGAGAGAAAAATGGTGATAGTTTTTATCTTTTAGTCTTTTATTTGAAGACAAAATATTGCAAAAGTAGTATTCAAAGAACAAGTAGCATCAGTAGGTAGAAGATCATGAGGTGTATTTTGAAATTCATTATGTAAAAAATGTTCCTTGATATACAGACCAGTTTGCATTTGATAGAGCAAGTGTTGTAAATCCTGTAGATCGGGAAACTAAACCTGAGAAGTTAATGTGAACTACCTGAAATCATACTGTTCATTATTTGCAGGTGCCCCTGCCATACTAGGCAGCCTGTTTGAGAATGATGATGGTAGACAAACTCTAACCATAATATAATAATGATATCATTAAATATTTGGTCCATTTACTGAACTTTAGCACGTGACTAATTAGTATTTTTGTTTTTTTGTGTAGCTGTTGTGTTCGTTGTAGATAGCAGCCATAGAGACAGAATTAGTGAAGCACACAGTGAACTTGCAAAGTTGTTAACGGAAAAAGAACTCCGAGATGCTCTGCTCCTGATTTTTGCTAACAAACAGGTAATGCATTTTTATACTGGAATACTTATTTTAGTAGTTTTGTGCATTCCATGTCATAAGGCAACTGGAAATATTTCAGAAAATCAATTCCACAGACATTTATAAAGTTTCTTCGTATATTTTGAGTACACCTATGTGAAAAATGCTGTGTTGGGTACCTGGAAGTATACAAAATAGAAATAAGGTAGTTCATGCTCACCAGAAACTCCTGGGTATGCATATGAACACATAAGTGAGATTCAAATACGAAGAAAACTGATAAGTGACTTCAATAACAGAATGTTACAGGGAATTAAGAGAGTAGTTTTAAATGTGGCATGTTGTAAGATTGTAAAATTTAGGATTTGAGCTGAAATTATGGATAAGGCTGAGTCAATATGTGAAAGGAAGAACATTACATAGATGATAATAGCATGAATGTTTTTAGTCTAGGATGTTAGGTGCAGATATTCTAGAGAATCTAGAATAACAGACAAGGCCATGCTGTAAAGCCCTGAGAGAGCTAGACTGAGAAATTTAGGTTTTATTCTATGAGCAAAGAGGAATCATCAAAATGTTCTGGACTAGTGGGCAATAAGATCTTATCAGTGTTTTAATACTATAATTCTAGGGGTAGAGTGAATCAGGGCAAATGACTACAGACAGGGAGATGCAGTAAATTACTTAAGTAATTCAAGTGAGCATTAACAAGACCCCAAATTAGAGAAATACAAAGGTAGAGGCAGATGGAAAAGACTTTGAGGTAGAATTGGTGACTGAATGGCCAGGATGAAGGACTGGGAGTAGCCGAAGATTCCTAGTCCGTGAGCCTAACTTTCTAGGAGGATGAGATGCCTTTAAGTAGAGGTAATAGAAGGAGAGTAGAAGTGGAGTAGAGAGATGTCATGGAAGGGGAAGAATAGGATGAAGAATAAAGAATTTTCCCCTTAATAAAAAAAGGCAAACTATTAAGAACTGGTATATTTAACACATTCAAATAAGTCAGTGAGTGTTCCTTGATATACAGACCAGTTTGCATTTGATAGAGCAAGTGTTGTAAATCCTGTCATAGATGGGGAAACTAAACCTGAGAAGTTATGTAAACTACTTGAAATCGTACTGTTCATTATTTGTAGGTGCCCCTTCCATACTAGGCAGCCTGTGTGAAAATATCATTTTCTGCTCATCAGATAAAGATTAAAGTGTTTTGTAATCTTCATACTTACATACACCATTATTAGTATTTTTGAGACTGAGTCTTGCTCTGTCTCCCAGGCTGGAGTGTGGTGGCACTCTGCTCACTGCAACCTCCCTGTCCTAGGTTCAAGCAACTCTCTTGCCTCAGTCTCCTAAGTGGCTGGGATTGCAGGTGCTTGCCACCATGCCCAGCTAATTTTTGTATTTTTAGTAGAGACAGGGTTTCACCATGTTGGTCAGGCTAGTCTCAAACTCATGACCTCAAGTGATCTGCCCGCTTCAGCCTCCCAAAGTGCTGGGATTACAGGTGTGAGCCACTGCACTGGGCCAAATTCCATACACTTTCAATGTGATACATTTTACTCCTTCAGTAAGATGGGATTTTTAATCTGATATAGTAAAAATATTTTCTAATTGTATGATTTCTTATATAAGTACACCTCACTCTTGGTGGGTTATTAAACTGAGACATTTTCTTGGAGGACAATTTGGCAATACTCATCAAAGTCCTTTACCCTGCCATTCTGCCTCTATGTATCTGGTAGACAAATATCCAAAGGTCATCCCACAGATAATTTTGCAAATACACATAAATGTATGTCAACTCTTGTTTGTGTATGTATGTTTATGTATGTACGTGTGTGTATATATATGGATTTGTAATAGCATATAAGCACAAAACTTCAATCTGAACATTCAGTATAGGACTGGTTAAATTGTTGTATCCTCACAATGGAAGGGAATTCTGATATTAAAAATAATGCAGATAATCTGTGCTGATAATGGAAAAATATCTTCAAAATGTTTATGTAAAAAACAAAAAACCAACCCTGCAAGTTATAGAAAGTCTAAACTATGTTACTCTTTGTGTTTATTTGCATGAACATGCATGGAAATTTTCTGGAAAAATATGTTGTTACTGGTGGTTGCTCCTGGGGCAATGGGTGTTTAGAGTGGGAACGTAGTGAACTCTTCGATATGTAACCCTATTTATAAACCATTTATTAAGGTTTTCATGTGTTAATTTTTATTTTAAATTGATGCCTTATAATTACTTAGGCCGGGTGCAGTGGCTTGCACCCGTAATCCCTGCACTTTGGGAGGCCAAGATGGGTGGATCACTTGAGGTCAGGTGTTCGAGAGCAGCCTGGCTAACATGGTAAAACCCTGCTTCTACTAAAAATACAAAAACATTAGCTGGGCATGATGGTGCGTGCCTGTAATCCCAGCTACCTGGGAGGTCGAGGCAGGAGAATTGCTTGAACCAGGAGGCAGAGGTTGCAGTGAGCCATGATCGTGCCACTGCACTCCAGCTTGGGTGACAGAGCGAGACTCCATCTCAAAAAATAAAAAAAATTACTTAGGCAATATGTTTCCATTTAAGCTGCAACGCCTTTATTGATTTCATTGTTAGGTTACCCTTACAAACTGTATACACACACACATATAAATTAGTTTAACCAAACTGGTTTTTTTTCCTATTCCTGTTAATCTCAGAATAATTACTGAAAGAGTCTAGGTTTTTTGTTTAGGCTTCTGTTAGAATGCTGTCAACAAATTTCTCTATAAATAATGATAATTAGAAAAATGGTAATTTGGATGGACTGATCAAAAATATGTGTATATATCTTTTAGGATGTTGCTGGAGCACTATCAGTAGAAGAAATCACTGAACTACTCAGTCTTCATAAATTATGCTGTGGCCGTAGCTGGTATATTCAGGGCTGTGATGCTCGAAGTGGTATGGGACTGTATGAAGGGTTGGACTGGCTCTCACGGCAACTTGTGGCTGCTGGAGTATTGGATGTTGCTTGATTTTAAATGCAGCAGTTGTTTAAAGTTTTGTGGTTAATAGTAACTTTGCACATATGTTGTAAGAAATTACACATCTTGAAAGATGATAATTTAGGATGCATATGTATGTGTATATATATATATATATATATATACACACACACATACATATATTCCCATACATATATACATATACATATATATATATTCCTTTCTATATATATATAAAGGAATCTTGGATTGGGAATTCAGTACATTATTGCTTTAAAACATTGTGGCAAATTAAATTTCTAATTGAGCAGATTAGATTGAATTAAATAGAAATTTGTTGAACATACATTCTTTTTAAAAGTATATTTGTTATTTAAGTTTTTCAGATTTTATGTGACCAATATACTGGGAAAGAGGTAGTCACAGAGAAAGGGTAAGTGAAGGTTTATTCTTTCAGTGAAAAAGAATAGCCAGTTGAGTGCCTAATAAGACCTCTCTGTAAAGCAAGTTAAGTATAGCCTCTTCTTTAATCTGCCTTTTCACTGAAGGTTGGCAGTATTTAGTAGTAGAAATGGCAGTTGCTTAATGAAATAGAATCCAAACTACATCTTTGGATAATAGGATTACTTTACATTTATGTTCAGAGTTAACAGAACACCTTTAATGCTAAGAACTATAAGGTATATAAAATTAATATTTTATATAGTGTTTTATTAAAACTTTTTCCTAAAGCATTTTGTATAAAACAGTGAGACAGAATTAAATATTACCTAATTAGGCTTATCAGATTAGTAATAGTAATAAAACTGTGAAAGTAGTTGGATCTTCAATTATGAAAGACCCATTTCCAGGACTGATGCTAGGCTTATGTACAATTTCCTAGGTTAGAGCTCTAAATTGGTCCTTCTATTTTTCAATATATTTAAAGTAATATCTCTAATATAATATTGTATCCTTTGTGGGAATGACTGTAGGTAAAATGTAGTAAGTTACACAGAACTAGGGGTGGCTTTATGTAAAAGCTAGTGATCTAAATAGAAAACGAACTTTTCCTTAAGAGTTGTTTGTACAGTGGGGAATGCTTATTACTTCAAACTATCTCCCAAAATAAGTGCATTTATTTTGACAGTAAAACGTAAGGCTTTTCATGACAAGGCCTTGAAAAGTCCACGTAAGAGGAAAAATGTCTAAAGGAAAAATATTCCAAAAGTTTACATTAATTATTCAGTGTTGTGAGTAAATAAAATTTTGTGCTCATTATGGTTTTTCATTTTTAAAGGATACACTCTTATTATGGAAGCACGATTTATTTAAATAGGTACATTGAGACTTTTTTTTTTTTAAATGTTCTGATACTTTAGGAAGAAGTTAAATCTTATCAGTTTAATTGTTATAAGGACAGCGATGTCTCATAACAAGGTGTGACTTTTAGGTAGCACTGTTTTTGTTCAGTCTTTTTAAATCCATTTTTATTTGTTTAAAAACATTAAAACTTTTAGAAAACAAAGCATTAAGAAAAAGCCTATCAGTGATATGGGCAATGTGTAAATAAGTAAATATAATATTTCATCCTTTATTTTTCAGGTAAATGGTCATGCTGTTACAAGTATAGTTTGTGTGCATAAATAATATTTCTGAATTAAGTTATTTAATATTTGACTGATTTCAATAACTGAAAAATAAAAAACGTGTTGCATTGCTTGTGAGAACTTGAGCTGTTTTCTCTACTAGTTAATTGAAGAAAAAATGTGTAACACTAAGATGAACTTGCTTCCCTTGTTATTTCATCAATTTTGCTAAACTTTGTAATGTACATTCTTAGCATATAACTGAACACATCTTAAAAATTGTGCTTACACCTGATTATAATGTATATATTTAATGGTAGATGTTTGTGATTCTTTTTTAAAGAAATACTTTTCTCAAGCTCCCATTACTATTTGTGGTTGTATTCTTTCACTAATCATTAGTTAAGATTGTGCTAATCTCCCCTGGGAAACTAAGACAGCTATTTTAAACACAGTATATTAGAATTTTCCTAGCATCTCTGAATTTCTGTATTGTCTAAATATTACTGTATGATTATATAAAGCAGGTATGTCAAGTGTATAGCCCTGGTATATAATTCAGGAATGCTTTATAACCATCAGAAGCCATTATCTGCACTACATATATGATCAGTATAGACAGCAATAAAATGTTAAGATGATTTTTAAGAAGTCCCATCATTATTCTTAAAAGTCTTTCTTGAACCATCTATCTAGTATTATTGCCAGTAGTAACCAATTTAAGAAGTCATTATTTGTGCTGTAGTTAAGAGAGAAAATAAAACAAAATAGGTAGAGATTGACATGCCCTTCAAATTTGAGTTCATTTGATAAAGCAAAATTTTAGAAATAACATTTTGAATTTGCAACATAGGCCACATTTGCTGATGAGAACAGATACTATACTTGGTCTTAACTATACCTGATATTAGCCAAACGGCTGAGAAGTGATGTGCGGGCCACATTTAAATAATATAACCATAGTGTTTTGAAGGAGGAGCTACAGTTTTGCGTTGAACAAAGTGAAACTGTTATTGCCATTTAAATTTTAAATGTAAACTTGTTTCATAAGAAAACATAGCATTTTAAATGACCATTGTAGAAAATGGCTTGCAAAACTTAGCTGAAGCTCATGAACTAATATTGCTAAGAGACGGACTTTTTATGTAACATTGGGATACTTTTAAATTGGCAAAGTGGTAACAGGGAAGACAGATGTATTCTTCCTAAAAGAATAAAGAATGAAAAGGACTAATGAATAAGAATGAAATTGTATCCTGATTTTTATTTATTTATTTTTTTGAGACAGCCTCGCTCTGTCTGGAGTGCAGTGGTGCGATCTCAGCTCACTGCAACCTCTGCTTCCCAGGTTCAAGCAATTCTCTGCCTCAGCCTCCTAAGTAGCTTGGGTTTACAGGTACCCACCACGACACCCAGCCAACTTTTGTAGTTTTCATAGAGATGGGGTCTCACCATCTTGGCCAGCATGGTCTGGAATTCCTGACCTCATGATCCACCTGCCTTGGCCTCCCAACGATTACAGGCATGAGCTACCATGGCTGGCCAAAACATGCTTTTAAAAAGACATGGACAACGTATGTTCTTAGGTCTGCCAATCAGGTTAAGTTTTTGACATTAATGGAAAAATTCATTAGTCAAATATGGTTTCACTCAAAGCAAAATAATTGTATTTGTTGGGAAATGAGGCATCATCACAAGTTGGTGGCAATATTACCAAAAATTTAGATTGTTAAGAATGAATAAAGATAGGGAGGTAGGTAAGTCTAAACAACTAAAATTAGAAACAATAAATGTCACATGGAAAAGTCATTTTCATGTCCAACTTTAAGTTCTACTTTTAAAAAAGAGCATACATTATTAGTAGCACAATCTAGCATAATCTCCTATCTCACAAGTTTGTAGCAAAGGAAAGAATCCTGCTGATCAATAGAAGGAAAAGTGTAAGCCGATTTAAAACTTAAGAATATAAATTCCCTAAACAGGCCTTTCAGCATGTTCTTCCTATAAGTTTCTGAAAGAATCTTTCTGGAAATGAAGCAGTGGGTCTTTTTTGTTTTTTTGAGACGGAGTCTTGCTGTTGCCAGGCTGGAGTGCACTAGCATGATCTTGGCTCACTGCAACCTCTGCCTTTCAGGTTCAAGTGATTCTCCTGCCTCAGCCTCCCAAATGCTGGGTCTGCAGGCACTTGCCACCATGCCCAGCTAATTTTTGCATTTTTAGTACACACAGGGTTTCACCATGTTGGCCAGGATGGTCTCATATCTCTTGACCTTGTGATCTGCCTGCCTCAGCCTCCCAATGTGCTGGGATTACAGATGTCAACACTCCCAGCCACAGTGAGTCTTAATAGTTATGAAGTAAGTTACAAGGGCGAGAGAAAAAATCAGTATAAGAATTTGCACTCATCTTGTTTTACTGCTCCAATTTCTACTAATCTCTATTATTAGATACCAAAATTTTTACGTATATTTCTTAATGGTATATTTACTAAAGATATAACTTGAGGACAGAAACAATTGTTTACCTATGTTAGAAAAATAATCTGAAACAGTAAATGAACCTGCATATAAAACCAAGGATTCAGATATCCACTTATTCTGATAGTTTATTTGAAAGAATATTTCATAATTATTAAGGAATATAAAACTTTGACCAAAGTGACTTCCTGTTTATTGAGGCTTACTAAACCCCACATATATTATGTTTTTTTCTATACATACATATCTGTGCTAAAGTTTAATTTATAAATTAGGAATAGTAAGAGATGAACAACAATAAAATAGAACAACTATAGCAGTATTCTGTACTTAAGTCATGTGAATGTGATCTTGCTGTCTGACAATACTGCATTGTACTCACCTAGTTTTGGATTGTGGTCGACAGTAGAAAGAAAACCATGGGAAGAGGGGGTGGGGGAGATTACTGTAATTATTTAATACTTAATTTAGGCTCATTACAAATTACCTGTAATGAGTGTTTGCCTGAATTTAGTCTATTTCAATTTATCACCTCCCAGGATTAGAAATATTGCAAGAAAAATCAAAGGTAATTTAAAAAAAATAGCCTTTAATGAAAAATACAAAAATACTGTATATTTGAAACATGATCTGCATATTCAGCAAGTCATAAAATAATCTGTTTAATATTGCATTTTTATTTGCAAGTACATTAAAGCAAATCTTATTTTATTTCACAGTAATATTTATGATGCTGACATCCTCATAGGGCTTATCTGTTTTGGGATTGACTTTGACATTGGAGATCCTCTGCACAACTTCCATTCCTTTAGTCACTCGTCCAAATACTGTGTGCTTATTATCAAGCCAAGGCTGTGTTGGATGACAAATGGAAAATGTTGATAAATCCCAATAAATTATACCCTCCGGTTGAGCAAATTAAAGAGAATTTAAGTTTACCCTTCCCTTTAGTATATATTTAAAAAGAAGATAATTTCTTAACAATAAAAATGTTGCAGCTTTTAAAAGTTATTTCCAGTTTGTTAAAAAATATATAGAAGCATAGTATAATGTTTAAATATCTACATCTTTCAGACCAAAGGGAACTGGAAGATCTTTCCTAAAGGTAAGTTACTTCACATGGCTTACACAATTGTGGCTAAATCTTTAAAAGGTCTCTGCAGGACTCTTACCTGAAAAATTTATTCAGAGGCAGTTTGAATAGTTTAAGCAGCACATGCTTTGGTATGAGACAGATGGGAGTTCAAATGCTAGCTTGGCTACTTACTTGACCTTTTGGCAAGTTAATCATGTCTCGATGTTTCCTCATCTATTACTGAAAACTGGGGATACTGATACTAGAAGTACTGTCAATGAGACTATGTTCCTGGCATATGGTAGTTACATATATTTTTTTCCTTTATTCATCACTTAGTGCTTAATTCCAAAACAAAAAGTAGCTAATTTTTATAATTTTGTGTTATTGTATGGCAATCGAGCTAGGGGACCTTACACTATATTTCATCAAATCTAAAATGCCATTGATTATGAGTTGTATTCTGATTTCAGACATAATAAAATGTGGGTGAAATTGTATTAAAATTGTGAATTCATATACAGTAATCGCTGTATTCTAAAGATGAGGAAATGGGCCCAGAGAGGTGTAATAATCAGTAGAGGCAAAGTTGAGATTGAAACTCAAGTATTTTGAATCACACTCCATTGTACATCTTGCTATAATGGAAGTATTATTTTACCATTTCTAAACTGATTTGTCGCATAGTTTTATATTTTCTTCTCTAGATCATTTTCATTTTTGTATTCTGGCCGATGATATAAATAATGCAGAAAATACAGAATAATGCAGCTCTTTCTTCCACTGAGTTCACTCTCTTACATCATAACCTGTCAATATGTGCTTTATAAACAATGTTGTTGCACTTACCGTTGGTACTACAGTTATGAAAAACTGGGATCCATTAGTATTTGATCCTGCGTTAGCCATGCTGAGTGTGTATGGTCTGTCATGTCGTAATGTTGAATGAAATTCATCTTCAAATTCTCCTCCCCATATGCTTTCTCCTCCCATACCAGTACCTGTTGGATCTCCTGTCTGAATCATGAAGCCCTTAACAGAAAGTAAACAAAAACATTACACTGTCCTTTTCTATATATGTACGCTTTGAAGTTTTATTACTGCCAAGAGTCCTTTGTATTCAGTGTAATATTAACAGTCTTTATAGTGATTTGATTAAACCTTTACACTTAAATTTGGATGATGTATTTCCATTGCTCAACCATCACCTTGATTGAAACATAAATACAAAGGTCATCTTCTCCTTTATAGACATGTTCTATCTTTCCCAATAACCAAAATAAAGCCAGTTAATACTATAAATTTCAGGATCTGTATGATTTCCTGGAAAGCCTTTTTGCTAATTCCTTTAGCATCCTGAGATCTGACTTTTCGTCCTGCCATTTCTGACCTGCCAGTAACCAAGAACTGTATTTCTGCCCCATACACTTTATGGAGAGCTGCTCAACAAAATTCAGGGACTGAGTTCTCTCTCCTCCTCTGGTATATTGCTGGTTCTCACAGATCAGATAGCATTGTGGCTCTTCTATGATTGAAAAATCCTATCTTCTAGATCCAGACCCTGTCTAGCCACTACAAACAGGTTACCTAGGTTACTAGTGTTACCTCAACATGACCCTTTATTCATTATCTTACCCTTTACTTTAGCTGTTGACAAAATATCGCTTCAGTGTTTCTAAACAGGTAGTCATGCCACTATTCCTGTTGATTCTAGATGCTGACATTCATGACCATCCAGTCTTTCTTTGGCTTCCATAGTATATTTTTCCTGTTCTTTTCCACTAAATTGATAAGTGTGAGAGAAGATTCCTTGGGCTTAAATCTCTTGCTATGTAATAATATTCCTTAAATCACATGAAATTTGTGTGACTTACCTTAATTATACGGTGAAATGTATGCCCATTGTAATAACCATTTCTGCTGTGAACACAGAAGTTTTCCACTGTCTTAGGGCACCTATTAAAACATATATTACAAATATGAAACTATTCAGAGCATCTTAAAACAGTTTTCTTTGGAGTTCTGCTTCCTAATGATGTTTCAGTGTCTTCTGAATGTTTCAGAAGGACAGTCTTTTTTTCCATAACCTCTAATCTCAGGACAAGCATGAAGGGGCATGTAAGTAGTATATTCTTATTTAACTTAGTTATCTTTAGAACATGAGTGTTTAACTAATCTAATATTTGAGTTTGACAGATTTCAAGGTCATTTAGCAGTTAAAAAAAAACACAGCCATAGCACCTTAAAAATATGTTTTTTTTCTTCTTGAGAGACAGGGTCTCACTATATTGCCTAGGCTGATGTTGACGTCCTGTGCTCAAGAGATCCTCCCACCTCAGCCTCCTAAAGTGCTGGGATTACAGGCATGACCTACTGCACCCAGCCTAATCTCTTAAATTAGTTCACTGCAAATAGTATTATAGGTCTGCATACAGTATTATAGGTTAAGTTCCCGGGAAAGGTCATTTTCTTATAAAAACAATGTTGGCCAGGTGCGGTGGCTCACACCTGTAATCCCAGCACTTTGGGAGGCCAAGGCAGGTGAATCACCTGAGGTTGGGAGTTCGAGACCAGACTGACCAACATGGAGAAACCCTGTCTCTACTAAAAATACAAAATTAGCCAGGCGTGATGGTACACCCCTGTAATCCCAGCTACTCGAGAGGCTGAAGTGGGAGAATTGCTTGAACCC